CCCCAAAACCCCAAAACCCCAAAACCCCAAAACCCCATTATCCCTAGATTTGATTGGAGATTATGAAAAATTAAAAGTAGCATCCAAATATGATGATATATTATTAACAGCATTTCACAACAATTGTCTAGCTTGATTTCAATCTCTTTAAGATTCCACTATTCTTACGACACTCATTTGGGGAAAAGCTCTACATCATCTCTTATCATACTAGCAATTTCTTGGAAATATACCTCTTCACTACCACGCTTAATGTATTGCACTTCTCTCAGGAAGCCATCGATGTCCTCTTACTGGAAGTATGTCACGAATTCCCCAAAGAATGTTATAAACTGACTATATTCAACCTTTTCATCACCTCGGAAGAATAGCTAGAATAAATTGCACACTAGATAATAAGGGTCCACCTTCACATCATTGATCACTAGCTCCACTGCTAAGCTGAAGTCCTTGTACTTCAGATTATCTCCTTTCTAAATGAGATTTTATATAGTCATTATATCTTACAGACTTAGATTTTTTAAGCATAATGGCTTGTTCATGTGGATTGAGTTCTTACCCACAAAGTCTAATTAAGGTCTTGATCGCACTACCTTTGATTGACTTTGACTTAGATGCATCAAGTAACTCATATTGCTCTATGATCTACTTCTTAGTGAACCCTCTTAGTCTTTTGTCTTTGATATGCTGTTTTAGTTCTAGAGCCATCTCTCTTCTAATAAGCTTGAGTACTTGAAAAATTCTGTAGGACCTCTTTGCTCTCTCCAGCTTTTATTCTTAGATTACTTTTTCAATCAGCTCTCTGTCCTTCATCATCTCAATCTATAAGTAAATTTTTAAAATTCAGATAAGTACATTTGTGATTAGGGTAAATTTAGACAGAAGTTGAGGTATGGTAAGAATCCAAATGAGGAACATAATTATTGGTGATATGATGAGAGCAATTATCATGCTTATAATAGTGTTTCTACTAGAATCTCTGTAGATATTATAAATGTGCTAAACACTGAACACTAGGTAAGTTGATAGGTAGATTATAGAAAGTATGTAAATAGCCTACAGTGACACTCTCATTATAGTTTAACCCCCTCTTCCACAAAAGAACAGTCTTTCATGTCTATTTGGAATGTGAGCCTAATCAGACTCCCTAAATGTATAAATATTGAGTAAGTTACTTTGCATATATCCCAAAGCATTAAGATCTGTTTTTCTTATCATCCTTATCCCATTGATTAATGAAATTCATCCTAATAACTGAATCCTCAGATCTTCTTGATCCACTATCTCTTTGCATCATACTACTCTCTTCATCCTAATCATAGGCAGGAGCTCCGAATCCTTTGGCAGTATATCTTCTTTCAGGACTGCTTGCTCCATTCTCTTCATAGTCTCTGATGGCCTGATCATCACTATCCATTTCGAGATATTCTGGTTAAGGGATATTATCATATAACACAAATGGATCTACTACCTCATAATTATCATGAAAGTTCATCTCCTCTGGCTTCAGATATTTACCGTTTGTTTGCTTTATGTGAGGATAAAGGAATCTTTCAATAGCTCTAAAATGGAAGTAATAAGCGAGAAAAGCCAATAGGAAAAATATAGGGGGTAAAAAGTTTAATAGATGCAGTCCACTCGGTCCCTCAGTTCTGTTCTAAGCATTATGCCCGTAAACTAACTTAGAGGCATCCACAAATATCAAAATAAAGAAAAGTGACACCCAACTGGTGTTGAAAAATGACTTCAGTGTTTTCCCATAGGAATGAGCCAAGTATTAAGCAAAATTAAAGTCTTTTCTTAAAAATGACTCACTCAAAGGTGGCAGAAATATTGGGTGTATAAACTCCAATCTCATTATGAAATACTTAATTTTATCTATAAATCCTAGTTCAAATCTAGGCCCACCCTCTAAGTATTAGTCTCTATAGTAAATGGCCTCATAAGTTTTCTTTATCTTTTCTAGCTGGGCGTAATCTGAGGTAATTTTCTCATACTCCACCCACTTTTCCACTTACTTCTAAGCAGCAATAATAAGAACTAAGCCTAAAACAGTCCAAATAGCAAGAGTCATAAGAATACAATAGCTCAGGCCGATTGTGTAATCCTGAGAGAGTCTTACCAATTGATAGTAGTTTAGTCCTTCCAAAACTAATGCACCAGTCAGTACAATTACCACTTCTCTGAATAGTACATATACAGCATCCTTAAGTGGACTATCCTTGACTAAATTCACACACGGGCATGTTGAAATTACAGTCTTAGATATCAGGACGAATGTTAGAATAAAAACCAGAATCATAACATTTTGGACATATTCCTAATTCAAATAATCCATTAGGCTCAAGTATTTAGTCTGCTTACTCTCAGAGGTATCAGGCTATGTCTTGCTGGGAGGAGTGGGATTTGTGTCTTTGGATTATACCTCTGCACCCTGATAAGACACCTATTGAACTAAATTATTGACATGCCTGCTAAGTTGAAGTAATTTCTCAGTCTCTAAAAGCATGAGGTTAAGAGATGGCTGACTTACCTTGATTTGAAATCCTCCTTTGATTCTACTCCTCCAGAGTATTTTGGTCTCTAATTTCAACGTCCTCAAAAGCCAAATCATCCAGAGTCATAATATGACGCTATCCGTCATCCTAAACTGTCGCTCTATTCTGCAGTCTATCCATTTCACTTGAGGGAAAAGTATTCTAGGAGAGTGACGAGACTGAATGAGTGCCTCTATCAGCATTTTTGCTGGGTAAAGTCAAATCCCTGAGCCAAGCATCTCCAACTGTATTTGAATTAGTATCATCATTATTATTTTCATCATTAGAAATTATTTCGAGGTCCATTCCATCCAAGATGGAAGACTTTATTCTGTTTTATCCTGAACTATATGGGTAAATCTAAGATTAATGGAAAGGGTTACGATTATGAGAGCATTTTATAATTATTAGATCTAGACTCTTTAGCTTAGGAAGCAGAATTAGTGCATATAACTAAATTAAGGAGTATAAATAAATTGTCAAATAAATCATTGGAATAAATAACTGATTTAGTTATCTCTATGGCTTTAAACTTACCTTGACTTAGAATAATTATTGCTAATACAAACTGAGAGAGTCAGTTTCGTTAAAGCAGGATTTTTAATGTTTGAAAGGGTGTCGTGATGGATAAAATGTGGGAGAACTGATGACTTCTTGTGACTTTTAAAAGTCTGAGTTACTTCATACTTTATTAATTATTTATACGCATTTTCATTTTACTGCTATTAATAATCCTTTTCATTTTAAACCAAACCATGGGGTTTTGGGGTTTTGGGGTTTTGGGGTTTTGGGG